TTTTTGATTGAGTTGCTAAGATGAAAGGATCAGTCTTGTACCATAATGATTGCACATTAATGGATTTGAAATGTCCGTCATCTCGAAGGCCTGTCATCTTGCCTTCTTGCTTGAACCAATCGCATCGAAATAGAACCACCGTCCGACGGACTTGAAGATTTGAGTTATATTGCAACTCAATTACCTCTTTAAGGACTCCATAAAAATCTATGCCGTTCCCGTCATGTGAACCTTCAGTCATTACACCACTATTTTGTGTCAGAAAGAACTTCTCACGATCCACAGTGCTATACCGCACTCCATTAACTATGCAAGATGCACAAGTCTTAACTCGTAGATCTGGGCCACATGACAGTGCCCACAGTCCTTCGCTAACCGATTCTGGATGCTCCTTATGTTTGTTCTCAATCTGTTGCAACAAAAGTACTCAGTTAACCAATTACATATGGATACTAATGCATTTACTAAACCTAGAAACACAATGTGTACTGACTTACATGGCACCTAAACCACTTTGCAAATCCTTGTTCAACCATTTTATCAACATCAAGCGCACCTTGCTGCACAAGATTGTCCCTATACAAGCTGCATGGTAAAGCTAAGTCATAAGAATAATTTGAAAATTTAGAAATTAAACAAAAACTAATCCCCAAAACATATAATAGATACTTACTCCAAATATTCCTCAGCTTCTTCACAATTATTTAGCACATACCAAACTAACTTATTGAGGACATCATCATCAATGTACTGGCTCCTATTAGATCCAACAAGAGTAACACCATGCTTAAAAACAGAGACGTCATCAGGCAATGGCATCTCTCCATCATTATCATCGTGATGGTTAAATCTATTGTCAATATCCTCCATATACCTAGAACAAAAAGTCAATGTGTCACTTGCCATATATGCCTCAGCAATTGATCCTTCTGGCCTCGCCCTGTTCCTTACAAAATTCTTCAAAGTGCCTAGCTGCCTTTCTATTGGGTACATCCATCCATACTAAACAGGTCCTCTAAGCAGTGCCTCATCAGGAAGATGGACGGCCAAGTGCACCATGACATCAAAGAAGGTAGGTGGAAAGATTTTCTCAAGCTTGCATAGGATCAATGGAATTTCTTCTTTTAGCCATTTGACAACATCAATCCTTAGATTTCTACTGCATAGTTCCCTGAAGAAGATCCTGAGCTCTACAACTGCTTCATATACATCCTTCCTCGCCAGTCCTCTTAGGCCAGCAGGTATGATTCTTTGCAGGAGTATGTGGCAAGAATGTTTTTTAAGCTTTCCCTACACCTTTGAACCATCTTCACTTATGTATCTTGCTAGGTTAGCCGCATATCCATTAGGAAACTTGATACCTTTGAGAAACTTGCATAACTCGGTTTTCTGATCCTTCCCCAAGACATATGGAGTAGGTGGAGCAATGACTGAGTTGCCATGCTGCTGTAAGTGCAATTCAGGTCTTATGCCCATATCATGCAAATCTAGCCTAGCATTGGTTGTGTCCTTGGTCTTGCCCTGTACATTGAGTAATGTGCCAAGAATGTTTTCACATATGTTTTTCTCTATGTGCATGACATCGAGATTATGTGGAAGCTTTAAATGTTTCCAATATGGCAATCTCCACAACCCAACTTTGTGGCTATAAATCTTTGGACCCTCATTGCGCTTCCTTTTATTTCCAATAATTTCATGATGCTTCCCTGGCCTGACATCTTTCACCTTCTCTAGCTCCTCTAGGACCTCCTCCAAAGTGAACTTGCCTGGTTGCTCTTTGTTTTCACGCTTACCATCGAAAGCCAAGCTTCTCCGCCATGCATGTGTCCTTGGAAGGTAACGACGATGTCCAATGTAACATATCTTATTCCTTATTGCCCGAGACAACGGATCCTTATCACAATGAATACATGCATAATACCCTTTTGTTGTTCGCCCTAATAATGTGCTCAACACTAGAAAATCATGTATACACCACAACACATGGCAGCAGAAGGTTAAACTTCCGACCAGTGCATGCATCGTAGGTACTGACACCCTTCCATAGATCGAGCAGTTCTTCAATTAGGGGCTCAAGGAACAAATCAAAATCCTTTCCTGGAGATTTTGGACCTAGGATGAGTAAAGACATAAAGCAGTTTGCTGGATTCACACATTCCCATGGTGGGAGATTCAGTGGTGTCAGAAGCACTGGCCACATACTGTACTATGTACTCATGTTGCCAAATGGATTGAATCCATCGGTAGCTAAGGCAAGCCTCAGGTTCCTCAGATCATCTACAAAGGATGGTTCCCTCGTGTCGAAGTCCTTCCATGCTTCTCCATCAGCTAGATGGCTCATTACATTGTCGACTAGCGTCCTCTTTTTCTTGTGCCATTGTGTTTCCTCAGAAGTTCGCTTTGAAGCAAAAATTCTTTTCAACCTTGGCAAAAGTGGAAAATGCCTCAATACCTTGTGTGGAACCTTCTTGTTCCCAATTTCATCTTGCCATCTAGACGTCTTGCATACTGGGCACACATTCTCTTTTTCATACCTCTTCCGAAACAACACACAATTGTTCTTGCACACATGGATGTTTTCGTAACCAAGGCCCAATTCTCCAAGATATTTCTTGGCCTCATCATATGATTTTAGCAACTCGCTCTGAGGGAATCCTGATGACAACAGCTTCATCATTATGGAAAATCCTATATTGCCAATTCGATAACGAGGCTTGATATACAACATCCTCACCAGAAAAGAGAATTTTGAATGGCTAGATCCTGGGCTAAGTGACTTCTTTGCATCTTCAAGGACTCTTGCAAACCTTGGTTGTTCTCCATCAGCCTCTGCCACAGCATACAGATCTCCTATCATCTCTGGTACTTCGTGATCCTCATCATAATCATCATCGACCACATCCACATATATCCCAAAGTCATGATCACTTCCTTCAACCTCCGGCTGCTCCAAATTCTCAACTACTACAGTATCTACCGACTCCCCATGATGAATCCACCTGGTGTATGTAGCTGACATCCCATAAATGTGTATATGGTCACTTACATCATCCACGAGACCGCAGAGTTTGATTAAGACATTTCTTTGCACGGACAAAGTATGTGTTTGTCTTCGGGGTATCTTTCATCGACAAATTTCATGAACTCTTCAACTCCTTTCACATATGCGGTGTGAATTGTGTCCCAAAAATCCAGCTTCTATCCATCGTACATTGTACTCGGTCCTTAAATTCCAATAATAAATTCAACAAAATTCAAAAACACATCAAAGACATGCATATATGTAAAACAAATTGATAAACAAATCAAACCTTGTACTCGGCAATCCTCTCGCTTTCGTGCTCCACGCGCAGCCAGCTCCGCTTTCGCCGTCGCATTGCCGCTCTCTGTCCCTGCAGCGTCAGCATCGACAACGACGGTGGTGTCGGCATGGACGAGGGAGAAGGAGATGGAGATCGCCAGATTAGTATCTTGGCAATGACGAGCGACGGCTCACGAGATCGCCGGATCGGTGATGGCCTCCCGGAGAAGAACTATGGCGGTGCCACGATACCTATGCATGCACGTATGGGACGCGTCTATGCGACCGGCCGCCACGCACGTATGGCCCATCAACTCGATCGACAAAAAAAAAAAACATGATATCATGTTCTAAGTACAAATACAAAAACAGGCTAGCCATAAACACAAAAGGCCGGGAGTTCCAGCAGTAACGCCTCCTCCTTGTCTAGCGGCAGGTCGCGGGTTTGATTCCCCCTACGGGGGAATATTTTTGCAAAAATTAAAAGGGAGGGGCAGGCAGCTGGTGGAGCTGGACCCTGGGCCCGCAGAGCCACATGTTCGCCGCCAAGCCCGCTGGTGGGACCGCATCGCCACGTCATCGACGTGGGACCTGATGGTGGGACCGCTCCGCCACGTCCTCGGTGTGGGACCGCTGGTGGGACCACGGCGCCATGTCATCATCTATGATTCAATTACCATGGAGTTTACAAATACAAAATATGCATATTTTTATCATAAAAGGCCGAGTGCTCTAGTGGTAAGGCACCTATCAACCTAGCAGCAGGTTGCGGGTTCAAAGCTCACTCAGTGAGCTATTTTTTGCAAAAAAAATGGAGGGGGAAGGCTACAGGTCCAGCTGGACCCATGTCCTCGAGGTGGTACACAAGCCAAACAATCAATGATGATTTAGTTTTGTTATTGTATGACGATTATTTTGTTTTTGTCATTATTCTTCGTGCCAAAGCTCCATCACTTGTGACTAATGACGAACCTTCACATTTCGTCATAGAATGCTCTCATTCGTGACGAAATTAGTAATCGTCACGAGTGAATCGTCATTGATGAACACATTTCTAGTAGTGATTTAGCTTCTCCTCCATTTCAGCCTAGCAGTGGAGGAGACATAGATAGCTCAATGATCATGACATATGAACCTAATGTATCATATGGTTGTGAACTAAGTATGATTTTACTTACAATAAGAGATTGAACTACAGGAGCAAACCCATTCTTTTTTCTGTAGTGCATCTCTTTAAATAGTTCCAGTGCATTTGGTGGTTCATTTTTGTACTTGTCCACTTGAAAATGAATAGAAAAGGACACTTTAAAAAACTGATGCTGATTCTATGTATTTCTAACACAGATAAAAGGCAGTAAACAAACTAAAGTTACAGCATGTTCTAGTGAAAGTGCCATAGCTAATTTTATAGCCCCAAGTTTAGTATGTTGTGACATAATTTTGAAAACCAAGCAACTAGCAGCAGATTTTTGTCAACTATTACTAATCTATGTGGCATAGCTACATACAAAGCTCTCTTAAATATGGAGAGAAGAAAAGACCTGATAAACAAATGACAATACTTGGTATTCAACTTAAAGTTAGTTCATATATAGTATCTTGCAATTGAAGCTCAAACAACATGTTCTAGTGAAAAGTGCCAGTGAGTTGTACTCACCAAATTTACAATCTGCATTTCATAGCTGCGAGAACCAGTGGTCTAATGGAACTGCACTTTGCTTCTGTTCTCTACATTCTTCTCACAAGTCACCTATAGCAACACAGTTCTATTGTTAAGCACATATGACATCAACATGATGAGATGGGGAATAGTTGGATGAACTTACAATTTTTTGCTTATTTTTCTAGTGTTCCACAAGTTTATCCCATTGCTCATCAGTCATTGAGGTCACAGGAGATGTTTTGGGCACTAGATCTAGTGGCAAAGCATCAAAATACCTCTTTTTGAGCTTGTAGCACTACTGGCGAATAGCTTTCTTCATCATAGCCACACATGCCTTTTTTCATAGGTGCTGCCTTTACATCCGTATGAAATATTGTCTGGTAACAGTAAACAACATTGCCAAATGTTATTGAATACACAATGTTAGTGTTGGAAATAAACAGTGGAAAGAGGCAAGTTTGAACACTTACACCAACTCTGTCTGTGTACCCCTTGATGATCTTAGGATGTTTCTTGTACTCCTTCCAATGTGGAAATATCGGAACATGGTTCCTTACTGCAATGTTGCACTTAGTTTCAAATTTTGCAGCAATCATCACTGAGTTCAGTCTTTTCTTCCCCGGTTCAATAACCAAAGGAAGTTTGCCTTTCCTCGAGCGAGTCATTGAATCAAGTTCTCTCCCAATATTAGGTCCCCTCATCCAGTCCTCCTCATCAAATGGGTCATCTACAAAGGATAAGCATAAACTTCTGAACTCTGATTCAAGAAATTCACCACTCGGTAATGCAAGAACAAAAGTAGTAACAGATACTTGTTAAATGTTATCCTATCAACTTATGAAAATTAAAGTTGTTGATTTAACAATAATATCAAAACTGGTGTTCAAGACTGAGCCAGTTTTCATTTTATTATGAACAATGTATGAAGTACAGAATTTTAGTCATGCACAGGTGACTAAATTATCTGTCCATGAGTTATCTTAAGCATTGGAGTATAAACCAACCATAATAAATATCCTAATATAATTGACTAATTGAGCCTAGCAGTACCAGGTTGACTTGAGCAGAAAATAACTATAACTTGAACTGATGCTCATGTAGAGAAGCAAAGCATGCACAATTTGACTGCAAAGACAAGCTCGACTTGTGGTTCTTCTATGGTACTATGAACTTGCTGAACCATCAGGACAAGCTAAAACATGCGAAGAACAAATACCAAGAGCATGACACAACATGACACACCTTCAGAAACATTGGCACCCTCTATTTCTCCATTTTCATTGACATCATTCATTGTGGCAGCTTCAGAGAGGTTTAGCTCGGTTTGTATATGCTCATCTCCAGTTAGGCAGCCATTTTGCTCGCCTGCATCAGCTACAATGCAATATAAAATTAGTAATAGTACTTTGGAATGTTGGTTCTATAATTTGAGTTCAATTTGTTATAGGAATGTAGTCATTTAACCTTCCTCTGTAGGTTGATTGCAGATTTTAGCTTGATTAGTCACTGCAGTAACATCAGTTGGACGATTCTTCTATGACCTTGTGAGAACACCAGGTTGCATCTTAGGTTGCGCCTTCTGAACACCTCTCTTAGTAACCTTTGTTGTTGTCTTCTTCTTCTACATAGAACCAATCAAATGTACAGATTGTGAGATAAACATTAAATGCAATGAGCAAGCAGTCCACATATTAAGATTTGACACTATGGAATAACTAGCACCTTATATGATAAACTAGCAAGTGTACACCCCAACTCTGTCTCTGGTTCTAGGCCATCATCACTTAGATGGCCATGACTGTTGGGCTCATCCTCACCATTTACTCCAAACTAGAGTTTTCTGTTTCCTTCTGCTGCTGGATTTCTAGGGAAATCCTAGTGTTCGCAAAAAGTCTAGCTAGTACAGGAAGTCTTAGTTGCCACATTTTTGCGTTGTTGCGGAAACACTTTCTCATCCGCTGAAGTTCATAGTCAGTAAGCGGAGGATCTGCATTAAGAAGGAATAAAGAGAAAATTAGGGACATATTTAAGCATCCAGTTCACATCAACAACCAGTTCACATCCATTTCACAACCAGACAGAAAACATTTTTAACATCTAGTTCACATCAGCAAGGCCACAAGAAGCAGTCCATAATCTGTACAAGGATCCTCTGCTACTTGCTATACAGATCTTAATCTATACAAGGACATCTATTTTTATTTTCCCTTCACATAAAATAATTGGCACCCATCATATATACCAATCAGACAGAGCATATCTTTGGAAGAAAAAAGAAATCAAAGCAACCTTCCTCAGCACTTTGCTTCTTTCGCATTTCACTACACCACCGAGTACAGCCTGAACTAAGAGGCAACAAAGAAAACTAATAGCACTAAAAGATGGTGGCAGGAACAAGGATGTTAAGAAACACTGCACCACCCCACCAACCCTGAACCCACCATGGCAATCAGACTTTCTAAACCAAGAAACATAGGCATCTTAAACTCAGATAGGGTTCTAATCGCCTGCAGCCATTATCACTCAGATAGGGTTCGTAGGAGCATATCTAGGCGACCCGATACTGTGTAAGCAAGATCACCTAAAATAAGGATGCAGGAGAGACACTTCACCTACAAACTAGTTTCCTGTCCGTGGCCTCCTCGCTGGTTTTCTGCCCCTCTTCTTTGGCGACATCGGCATTTCTGCAAGTACTCTGGGAGAAGAGGAAGCGGTGGCTGCGGGATGGCAGAGCGGCGGTGGCTGCGGGACGACAGACGGTGGGGCCGCTAGTTGTGGGATGATGGATGGCGGGGCGTAGGGTTCTGGGGGTGAGATTTGGAGGATTGGGGGGATTTAGGGGCGGCGTTGCCTGCAAGATGGGGGAGCTCGATTATATAGGGCGATGCAATATTACCAAAATGGCCTCATCGTTACCTTTGTGTGATGGAGTGATGTCTAGGCGAGCGGGTTAGATTGGTAAATTCGCATGCCAAATTGTGGAGTGGGGAAGGCCGCTGCTAGCAAAATTTCAAGGTGCGCACCTACACTGTTCAGAATGCCCGCCGAAACATTCAGGGTGCTTCTTTTTTTCTTGAAATGGTCCTTATATATTTTTTGTAGCTATCAAGATATTAAAATAGTGCACGATAATAACCAAATTTGGATTACTATATAAACTTGCTTGGTATTAATTGTATAAATTTGGTCAATTAAATTGTTTAGGCCCGATAATGTAAATAAATCACTACTGCCCCTCTTATGACAAGTAATAGTACTTAATAGCACATATTAAGCCCAATAATCTATATAACTTCGAATCTCTCACATGTATTTCTACAAAGGCTACATTTTACTTTGTGGTATGTGCCACATAACCTATAGTGATCGTTAATGATTTGAGAAGTGTTCGCCTCAAACGTATCTTGCTTATGGGGTTTTGGTGGTGATTATGTATATATATATATATAGTCAGTACCAAATAACTTGTACTAATCCCTAAAGGTTCTCTACCTACGTAGATCAATCAACTCCATCGTGTTATGCTATATAAGGCTGATTTTTTGGTGACTACCCATTGATGTATGTATATATAGTACTCCTTGAACATATCATACTCTACACATCGATCAGCTATTGCTTGTATTTCTCCACCGGCCACATTTGACTTTGTGGTAGGTGTCACATAACCTATAGTAACCGTTGATGATTTTAGAAGTGTTCGACTCGAACGTATCTTTCTTAGGGTGATTTGGTGTTTATTTTATATATAGTAAGTACCAAACAACTTGTACCAATTCAATTCCTAGAGGTTCATCTCTAGCTAGCTAGCTAGCTAGATCTCAATCGAAATTAGGGTGACTACCCAATGCATGTCTAGTAATCATATAAGATGTTCTACATCGATAATCAACTCCATTCCAATTTAGGATGATTATATGAAAATAGAGTGATTTTGTGGTGACTACATAGTAAGCACCAAATGTACATCAAGATATTGTGTATGTCCTATATTTAAGAATATGAAATGATAGAAATTCTTGAAATTTTGACAAAACTTCTTCAAAATTCAAAAAGGTATGAAATTTGGTCAAAATCTCGGCCAAAATTTGCTCCTTAGTTTATCACCACTTTGTCTTCAAAATTCTCTCGGCCAAAATCTCGGCCAAAAGGATGTTGTGTAACTAAATGACATCCTTTTCTTTAAATTTATTCTATTTGCTAAAATTTGTTATTTTATCTGTATAATGAAATTTGGTCTTCAAACTTGCAAAATATGTACATTTTCTCACTTGATCTGGAGTACATGTGTGCCAAAACTGTGTGGATTACATGATGAAAATAAAATGGTCATAATCCAAACAGGGGCAGCTTGCAATACTAAACAGGGAAATTCTAGACATAATATAGTCATAAATCCAAACATAAATGTCTTGTTGCTTCCAAATATGGGTTCTTAACTCCATTACTAAGCAAGGAAAATATTACATAATAATACATGACAAATGATGAGATCACTAGTATAGAAACTACTCATCGTCGCTATCTACCTCAATAGGGATAGCTTCTTCTTCACTCCAGTACTCCATCAGTGTGTCATCCTCTACCTCATCACCCTCTTCATCTTCACTAATAGTCTTTGATTGATTTTCCTTTGTAAGTCGAGCAACCTCAGCAGCATCAACAAGAAGGCCAGCCTCATTAGCCCTATTCAAAGGCATGTTTAGTAACATCTCAGAAACTTCTAGTCTTACGCGGTGTCCACAACACATGTCCGCTCTTGATAGGGTGCAAAGCGATGGATACGACACCATCTATTTTAGACACATTGTACAAATGACGATGCTTAAATGTCTGGATAATCCGCCAATTTGATCCATTCTTAATATCTGGCAAATAAAAAACCTATGTAGCTTGAGTTGCCAAAATAAAATAGTCTTTCTTGTACCACAAGCTGCCAATATTGATGCTTTTACAAAATCCATCATCCCTTACTGCAATATGCTTACCATCCAATTTATACGGTCACATTAAAAAAACAACAACAGTTCTTTTTGTACCATCATCCTTGCGTTGTCTTTGTAACTCAATAATCTCTTTCAATGTACCATAAAAATCAATCATCTCACTTCAGTATGCACCGCACGAAGCCACCCCGAGAGTTTTGTGTCTTCTTGTTTTTGTCATGCTCGACGATTGCAATACCGCACACCATTGACAACACATGTGGAGTATGATCTTACTCTAAGGTCGGGGCCACAAGCTAGAGCAAATATATCATCATCTACCTCCTCTCGATGCATTCAACCTCCACACTGCAAAAAGGGAATGTCTCGGTAGCCAAAATAATTATCTACAAGAAAACTAAAAATTTAGGATAACAATAAGATACTAACGTAATTCCTGAACCAACTCCCAAATCCTGCTCTATCCTTCTTTCAAGATCTGCGCAGCAGAAGCAACCCTCACTCTTTGTTAATTCATCTTCAAACATTCTGTAACTCAAAAATAAAAAAATCAGCAAGTTGCTAATCTGAAAATCATTAAGAAACAGATCTAATATACAAAATATAGATTTAAGAACATACTTTATGTACTTCTCGGCCTGATCACAATTATGGAGAACATACCAAACCAACTTATCAAGTTCCACGGAGTAGGAAAGATCACATGCACCAATAAGATTGACACTGTGCCCAAAAACATCAGCGGTATAGGCTAATTGATCTAAAAATCCAACATTTCTTGGGAGTTGATTAAACCTTGTCTCTACATCATCCATATATCTTGAGCAAAATGTGAGGGCTTCATCTACCACATAAGCCTCTACTATTGAGCCTTCTAGGCTTACCTTGTTCCTAACAGACCTCTTCAAAGTATACAAGCGATGTTCAATTGGGTACATCCACCTGAACTCCACAGGTCCGCGGAGGATGGCCTCATCAGGCAAGTGGACAGCAAGGTGAACCATGACATCAAAAAAAGCAGGGGGAAGATTTTCTCAAGCTTGCACAATATTATAGGTATTTTAGTCTTCATTCGAGCCAAGACATCTTTGTTTAGTTTTTGGCTGCACAATTCCCTAAAAAATTTGCCAAACTCAGCAAGTGTTTGATATATATCATCATCCAACAGCCCTCTCAGCCCAGCAGGTATAATCCTTTGCAACAGAATGTGGCAGTCATGAGTTTTCAGGCCTTGCCACTTGATTGAGTCAGCATTTAAGCATCTTTATATATTTAAAGCATATCCATCTGGAAACTTGGCCTCCTTCAAGAAATTACAAAATTCAATCTTCTTTGACTTGGACAACAT